AAAAAAAAAAAAAAAATTGTGTGAGAAGCTACCAAAGAAGCCTAAGAGCCTGTGTAGGAGTTACAGTGCCTACCACCCTCTAAAGCAAAAGGAAACAAAATAATAATATGCAAACACTTAAAATAGTGCTTACTCCATGCCAGGCACTGTTCTAAGCATTATATGTATATGTATATATATATATATAAATTCATTCTTATCCCTCATAATACATAGGTTTCTCATTCGCATTCCCCCGGCTTTTTTTTTGTTTTTTTTGCAGGTAAGTAATGTGAAGCACATAGCTCAACTTGCCCAGGGTTATAGTAGTTAACAACAGACTTACAATTTGAACCCTGGCAGTGAACACTTTTTAAAACTGTTATTTGATACTGCCTCTCCAAAAAAGCTGAGTGGTTGGCAGCATGGCCCCGCTAAGGTTTCTCTGTGACCGTAAAAATAAGTCTACGTTTATTATATAATAAATAAGCGAATAATAAACGTATACTTAGTTTTGTCCACAGTAGCAGTAACGCCATTAGTTATTACATGCCAACGTTCTCTATTGTCGTCAGCTTTTCAGATCCCACAAGATTTCACCTTTGGCCGCAATAACATCCCATTTCACCATGTCAACTTTCTCCCCCATCCCGTATACCCCCTCATTCCAGTGTTTGTTCATTTAATCTGCTCCGAACCCTGCATCTGCGGCTTTCTAGGAGCCAATGTTAACTCATCTGTGAAATAGCAATAGTATCTGTCTAGTCTCCACCCCAAGAGAGGACTGAGCGAAGGGTGGAGTGTGACAGCGGTCTACTGATATTAATTTCTATCACTCTGATGGTTATTGTAAGTATCCTTTTCTCCTCCGCATTTTATGAGAAAAGAAACGCAACTTCACGTTCGCAAACAGCCACCATAAAGCCGCATTGGCTTGCCCTAGTCACTTAGAGTCTGCGCAGTAGCGAAGGCCAGAGCCCTTGCTTTCTCATTTTCCTCCGCCGCGCTTCGATGACGTAAATTTTCTGCGGCGCGGGACCAGCAGCGGCGCCTCAGGAGTTAGGTTCCGTTTTCGTCTGGAATTTTGGTGCCGGTGTGGCCCGTGACCCAACACCATGAAGGAAACGCCACTTTCAAACTGCGAGCGCCGCTTCCTACTCCGTGCCATCGAAGAGAGGAAGGTATGGTTTGGTCCCTGCGGAATTGCGCGCTGCTTGGGCGCCAAGGTGTGAACTCATAACCTGGCCCGCCTCGGCCGAGGGAGCAGCTAGGGGAGCGACCGGTTCGTGCACCCCAACCCTCAGGCTTTATTATTATTTTTTGGACAGGTTCTTCTCAAGGCTCCAGTCACCCTAGCAGTTGCCTATGCCGTAGTTTCCGCTTTCCTATATGGGCGGGGTGGTTAGGATTCCACTTTCCTCCAAGTGCTTAGCCCAGGGCCAGAAAAAGTAATTAAGAAATATTTGTTGAAGGAATAAATGAATGAACTTGTGCTTACAGCGGCTGGATGGCAGACAAACCTATGATTATAGGAACATCAGGATCTCATTTGGAACCGATTATGGATGCTGCATTGTGGAACTTGGAAAAACAAGGTAACAGGATTTAAATAAGGTATACATTCAAAAGGGAGAAGTTTGAAAAAAGACCTGTTGACTCGGTTGTTTATAAACCAACTAAGCCTGGACGGTATTCTTTGTTTAGCTGACAAAAATAAGTATTTTGGTTTTGTGGTCACTATTGAAATTTTTAATCATAAACATATTTTCTGCCACGTATTACATAGTTCTTTCTGACTTCTATAAATCGTATAGACAACCAGTAGTCATCACACTGAATTTGTTTCTCATACTAGTATAGAGATCTTGAGCGTCGTGTCATTAAGTATACATCCTGCTTTCCTCTTTTTCCTGAGTGACATGAAAATTAGGTTTTCTGATATTCATTTTAAAGTTGTGAGACTATTTGGTCAGTTAATAGTGGTGAACCGTGCCATGTGAAAACCCTTAAGATATCTCAAGTTTTCATGCCATCTTGTATCAATAAATACTTGCTTTAGAGGTAAAGGTCATTGATTTTTAAAACAATCTGTGGAATAGTAAACATTGTAATAAGATTTTTTTCTGTTGTGTTTTTAGGTGTACCAATTTATGTTTTATTTCTGTGTATATTATACTTTACATATAATTTTTATCTCCCATGATATATTTGGCTGAGTATGATATTACTCAGAGTAAGATTGAAACCCATTATCTGTTTCAGATTTTTTTTTTGGAAGGAAGATCTATTTAGTTAATACTTTGTATCTTTATCTTTTCAGAGTTCTTGGACAGGTTTCCTGTGAACTTGTGGCTCCAAAACTCAATAGGGCAACAGAAGGTATTCTTTTTTTTAACCTTGAACTCTCTCAGATGGCTGCTCCAGCTTTTGAACCTGGCAGGTACTTAAATCTTTTTCTTAAGCTACTTTAGTCATAGGAGAACCTCACAGCAGTCAGCTTTTTTTTTTTT